GGACTAGCCAGGGATGACAGATAGCAATTGCATTCAACCTTCTGAAACCCTGGCCCGTGCTATACCTGCTCTGGGAATATTTGATGCCAATGTAGAGAGCGGTTTACTATGTACCTAACCCGCGTGTATCTATCCTGGGGATGTCTGGTGGGATGGAGTAGAGAGATTTTCTTCGTATCTAATTTGGGCTATGCCTGCTCTGGAAATGCTTAATGAGAGGGGTTAAAGGGAAGCTTTGCTTAGTTTCCAACCAATGCTTTGCTTGCCTTGGGAGTATTTGATCGGATGGTGTAGAGAGTGTTTTTCTCTACATCTAAACCAGGCTGTACTTACCCTGGGAGTGCTTGATGAGTTGGGTTAAAGGGAACTTCATTCTCTAACTATCCTATGTTCTACCTGTCTTAGACATATTAAATGGGATTGTATTCATAGCGATTTTCTCCCTGAATCTAACCTATGCTGTACCTGCCCTTGGAATCTCTGAAGGCACTGTACAGAGCGAACTCCTACATCTACAATCATATATTCTTCACCTTGAATCTTGACCACTGTCCTGCGTTTCTCAAAAGAATTTTTTTCTAGAAAAATGAGAACTAAGTATTTTTTTGAACCGCTGCAGAAAGGCAGGCAAATTGAGGAAGTAGGTCTCAGTGCCAAATCTAAGCAGCATGATCACAACCTGCTGCAGAGGTGAAAACAAGTGTGTTTTTCCCTTTTTTGGGAGGAGAAAAGCAGGATGACTTCACTGTCTGGTTAGCTTAGCCTTCCATTGCTCATATTATTTTCTGTTTCTTCTGAGTATCAAGTCCAATTTCTTTTGGCTTGGGAACTTTGGGTTTGTGTCAGATGAGGCCCAATAAACAGGAAAGAAATACCTGAGCAAAAAAAAAATCCCAGAAGAAAGTATTGACCCAGTCACCAGAATCCAGCATTGCCAGGAACTCTGACCATATCCTGCGAAAGTTTCAAATCCCAACAAATTGGACTCAGGTTCAATGCCAGCCTGAGCCCCTGCCCTCTCATGCACTCAAAGTCCTCTTTGCATATCAGTAGGAACTTGGGCCTGGCTATGAGTGAAAGTTTAGGTTAGGGTGTGTATAAAGACATCTAGGGCCAAGAGATTGGTACAAGCTGCCAATTTCAGCAGTTGCTAGTCAAGTGGAAAAAGCTATTGCCCCGTTTATATAAGATCATAAGAAATAGGAGTCATCTGGCCCCTCGATCCTGCCCCGCTATTCAATAAGATCATGTCTGATCTATTCATGGACTCAATTCCAATTACCTGCCCACTCACCATAACTCTCAATTCCCTTACTGTTTAAAAATCTATTTTTGCCTTAAAAACATTCAATGAGCTAACTTCAATTACTTCACTGGGCAGGGAATTTCACAGATTCACAACCCTTCGGTTGAAGAGGTTTCTCCTCAACTCAGTCCTAAGTCTTCTCCCTCCTTATTTTGAGGCTATGTCCCCAGTTCTAGTTTTACCCGCCAGTGGAAACAACCTCTCTGCTTCTACCTTGTCTATTCCCTTCATAATTTTATATGTATCTATAAGATTGCCCCCTCATTCCTCTAAATTCCAATGAGTTTGATTCCAGTTTACTCAATCTCTCCTCAAAAGCCAACCCTCTCACCTCCAGAATCAACCTCCTCTGCAATCCTTCCAGTATGTCCTTTCCCAGGTAAGGAGACGAAAACTGTACACAGTACTCCAGCTGTGGCCTCACCAGCCCCTTATACAGCTGCAGCATAACCTCCCTGTTTTTAAATTCCATCCCTCCAGCAATGAAGGACAATATTCCATCTGCCTTCTTAATTACCTGATGTACCTATAAACCAATGTTTGGTGATTCATGCACATTAGATCTCATCTGATTTACACTTCCTGATGTCTTGTAGTTGTGCTTGCTGTAACGACTGTGAGAACTTATAAACTCAACCTCTGGACAAAATACAAACAACAGTTACTATCCTCTACAGCACTGTCATGTTTCCTACTAATTTCCCACTGAGAACATAACGAAGACAAAATTTAAAATGTAGAAATAACAGATTGATAAATAGAATTTCGCTATGAAAAACTTAGATCAAAACTGATTTCTTGAATTCTTCATAATTTCTCACACTGCAGAATTGTATTGGAGGGGCTCAGCAAGAAGAATCAACATTAAATAAAGATAACATTTAATAACATGGAGGCAAACGGCTCTGCCATTACACAGGGGAATACTGTGAATGCAGGAATGGGGGTGGGGTGGGGTGGGAGGTGGGGATGTAGTGGATGCTATTCAGTCTTGAGTCGTTACACAGGAAAAAGAGCAGGCCATTTAGCTCCAAAGTCTATGGCACAAGAACAGGCCGATCAGTTTCTTAAACCTGTTGTGGAGGAATAAGGAGACTATTCAGCTTCTTCATCCTGTTATAGAGGAACAAGAAGCTCTTCACCTGCTTAAGCCTGTTTTGCAGGAACATGAGGAGGCCTTTCAGCCTGTTCCAGAAGAAAAAGAAGCTATTCAGCCCATCATGCCTGTTGGGAAGGTCATCCAATTCCTTAAACTTGTTAGATTGACATATGATGAGACCATTCATCCCTTCAAGGCCACTAAACTAATTAACTAGGGTCATGGCAGATCTGCACCTTAAGTAAATTTAACCAACTGTGCACAATGTCCCTGGTTACCTTTACTTAACAAAAATCCATTGATCTCCATCTGAAAATTCCCAATTGATCCTCAGCATCCAGTCATTTAAAGGAGACAGTTCCAGATTTCTATGAACCTTTATGTGAAGAAGTGCTACCTTAATTTGATTCTATATGGCTAGATTGTGTCCCCTTGTTCTGGGTTACCCCAGCAAGGATTTTTTTCCCTCTGTTTCTATCTAATTAAATTCCTTTTCATTCAAAATGTCCCAATCGGATCACCCTTTAATCTTTTAAACTCATGTGAATAAGAGGGAAGTTTATGCAACCTGTGATCGCTGAGCCCTGATATTGCTCTGGGGATTCTGTATTGTACTGTCTCCAAAATCAATATATTATTCTTTAGTTGTCGTGCCCAAAACTGGATGCAGTTTTAAATCTAAATGTAGGTCCCAGAGCAGGTTGAACGGAAACGAAATTTACTACTAACAGGCCATTCAAATAAAATATTTGTTGCAAATCGTCAAGTGTTATTCCTTCAGCTGGGTGTCCTATTTCAATGCAGGAAAAGTCATGGGCAGAATGTTAAGGGGAGTATGGTTCCATAGCAGCCAACAGCACGTTCTGTATAGACCACCGGGAAAATCTCCATTCCAAATGGCTTCTCCCCTTTTTCCGAAAACAGGAAGGAGAATGTCCTGGCTGGAAAATAGAGCAGTGTTGTCCAATAAGTGAGGCACAACTGACTAATTCAGAATCCAGATGTGGATAATTGCATTTCTGATTAGTAAATTAGCAATTGGCCACTTTGTTGAGCCCATGATCTCGATGATCGTATTTTGTGAAATGCACATTTGTGAACAATAACCTTTCTAGCAATTTTTGTTGAAATGGTAAAACAAAAGTAGTGCTACGTGAGTAGTGTTGTTCATTGAGTATTTTAGTTCCTTGGTTATGAATGGGTGGTAAGTGTGGAAGTAAATATCCACATGTGACATACACTTACCTGTGTTGTGAGATAGACAGCTTTAGATAAGGGCTCTGGTGGTGCAGTGGTAGTATCTCCACCTCTGAGCCAGGAGGCCCAGATTCAAGTCCCACCTGCTCCAGAGATGTGTCATAACATTCCTGAACAGGTTGATTAAAATATCTGAGAAGTTTTCTACTAAAATTAGTAAATGTGGCTAGACTTCTGGTTTGTTAAGAGGCTTCCATGAACAATACTAAATGACAGTCTAAAAAATGAAAGTGCTGTAAATACCTAGATCAGGTGGCATTTGTGACGACAGAAAATAGAGTTAATATTCCAGATCATTACTGTCAACATTAGCTCCTCAGATGCTGCCAGACCTGCTGAACATCTCTAGTATTTTGTTTTATTTCAGATTTCCTGCATCCACAGTATTTTGCTTTTAGATTGTGTTATCTGTAAAAACAGCTCAAGAAACGATTTACAGAGAAAAACTGTACGGATTATGCTCCTGATTTTCCATCTCGTCATCCACTTCCTGTTTAATATCTCATTAATCCATCCATTTCCCCCACCCTCTCAGTGTTGATCATTGTTGGGTTGAGGGTTTTATAGGTACTGATCATTCTTGGAATGCCATCCCAGTGAAGCAAATTGATCAGGGAATTTGACTTTGGAGGGCATCGCATCTGAGTCTGTTCTGTTTTCCAAGGTGGGGGGAAGAGGCTGGCAGTGACTGGTGGGGGTGGGAGCTCAGAGTGAACAGAAGTGAGAGTCAATACCTTCAGGAGAAGAATGGAGTAGAATCACAGTGAAAGTCAGCTCCTTCTGGATTGGAGGGGACAAAATTTTAAAACCAGCTGATTCCATAAGTTTAATGTTAAGTATAAATCTTAAAGATGTACAATAAATGTTCAACAATTATGCTAATCTGAATAGTTCATGATTGCAACTGATATGGCTCCTTTAGCAACTAAAACAAAGCACGCTGCCATCACAGAGACATCTGGGACCTTATCAGTAACTTCCTTGACAGAAAGGTAAAGTTTAATAATTTTAACGACCAACAATAATGAATGAACAAACAAACTGCTATTGAACTGCTTGATTATAATTGCAGTAATACTTAGGCAAGTTGAAAATCACAGAGTTTTACATCACAGGATGAAGCCTGTGCCTGGTTCTTTAGAAGAGCTATCCAGTTAGTCCCACACCATGTTCATTGCCCTGGAAATTCCTTCTTTTCAAACATACCTCCAATTTAAGTTGAAAGTTTGCACTGAAAATTTCCATCAAAATAATTTGTTTAATAAAATAATTTCATTTTTCCCAATTGCACCCTCTGAAGTCACTGCCACATTATTAGGGGTTAATCAAAGTACTTACTTGGCTGCATTCTGAGGCGCAGATTAAGCCAGTTTCGAGGTGGGGATCCGTATTTATAAAGGACAGAGTTCATGGTCAGCCCTGCAGACAATGCCACCTGAAGTCAAATGCTGAGCTCCAAACATCTGCTGGATAGGCAGCTTTATAGTAACTTTCTCTCCACACATCAACCCAAAAATATCCACAAGCTTCTTCTCATCAAACTTCCCAGGGTCAGTGTATTTCATTATCTTCCATTTCATTCAATCTTGTCTGTATTGCTGTCAGTCTTCCTTATTTGGTGCCTGTCTCATTTTGGTGGTCTCCCTTCCCATTCTCATTTTGCTCCTTTCTAGCTGACCTGAATATCACTCTCATTCATCCTTTCTTTAAAATCTCTTTTTGCTTTCCTCTGTCTTTATTCGGTTTTCACTGTTCAACTTTTTTCTCTCATAATCTACCTTTTACCCCGTTTCTTTCGTTTTCCTTCACTGCCTCTCTTTTATTCTGCATCTTTTTCTCTGTACTTTTTTTTCTTTCACCGCATTGCTTCCTTTCTGTCGTTCCTTTTCCCTTTATGCCACTCCCTTTTCTCTTCTCACCCTTTCTTTCCCTCCGCCCCTCCCTTTTTCTGTGTTGGTCCCCTTTTGGTTGCTCTTTTTTTAACTTGACTCACTCAGACAGTTTCACTGAAGCCAAACCCTCCAATATCTGATCAACATTCACAAAGTTTGATTTCTTCAGCATCACCCACATGATGCCCATCACCATAGCAGCAAGAGTTTTCACAATACAGCAGTACCATTCTGCAGCCTGAGCACTGTCTCGCTGTGCAGACCCTGAAAGTTTGTCTCTGTCTCGTATACCACTGCCGCGTCCTGTTCCTCTGACTAGACTGCAGATTAATTTCCTCTCCGATATCTGTTTACCTTTACAGGGTCTGTCTGAAGCAGCCCAAATATTTCAGAGATGGAATTTTCTCCCCAGCCACAAACATGCGGTGCCCATATTTATTTTCTGCCACTGTGCAGTCCGATTCTTGTGCCAAGTCCTTCTGCAACAGCCAGGATCAGCATATGGAGATAATTAAATCGGCTGAAGCTTTCTGTCTCTTAAAAAGGCAGCACAAAGGTTTCCAGGAGATAATCCTGCATTGAGTTCTAAAGCTCAACAATTTTCTCCAAAATTTTCCAATTAAATAAAAGTAAAAACAATTTCACCAGTTCATTCCTAAATCAAAGTGTTACAATTTTTTGAAAAAAAAACCTAACTTTAAAAGACACGTCCAAGACTTTTGTTTTTGTAAAGTGTGCTTTAACAAAGAGTTTCCTGTGAATTGTACCTCATTACATCTGCAAAAAAGCTAAAAGGAAGCTAAATCGTTGAGCTGGTTTGATACTCGAGCCAGGATTTCACTGAGGGTGGAGTGAAGGGGTTTCTGGTTGGATCTATCCCATACAATAAACCAAAGAAAAGCAACGATCAGCATAGTGAAGCAGCTTACAGTCACTGGGGACCCCACACAAATGAGTACAGCTCAGTACTGGATTCTACTGGCAAAATTCACAGCACGAATAAAGTGTTTACCCCACTCTCTTCACTAGGATTAAGGTTCCTTGCCCTCATGAAGGTGCTGACTCTCAGAAGTGTTCAAGAGCTTCCTAACCAGGTGTTGATCCACACAAGATTCAGCTCCTCCCTCCTCTCCTGAAGGTGCCGGCTCTCACAGTGGTTCATACCCCTGCTCTCTTGAAGGTATTGACTCTCACTGGGGTTTAAGTCATTTCCTCTCCTGAAAATGCTGACTCCTGAAGTTTCTTCTTCTCCTGACATCTCACCATGCCATTCATCAGCTGTGACCACAGATGATAAGCATCAACAGGAAACTTGACCAGAAATCATCACACACAGTACAATTCTACCCATAAACTTTCCAGCAGGAGTTACTGGTCAGCATTGAGTGGTCACACTTTTCTTACTCCCTCCCTCAACCCATGGTCAAACCACAAAAACAAACAAAAATCAGGGGAGTTCAGAAGATTGTCCTGAAATAGGTAACTGAATGTTAAAACTGGGAATCCAATTAGAACAAGGGACTGTTGCTGCAGTAACACTGATATATGAATAATGAAAATATTCACTTTAAGGTGAATGCATTTGCAAAGACCAGATGGTATTTATCGCTGGGTGAAATACCTCCACTCTTGTCCGTAAGACCAACTCTGACCTTCCTGTTGTTTGTCACTGCAATAAAGCACCTTGCTCCCATGCTAACTTTTCTGTGTGGGGCCTGCTACAGTATTCCAACAAAGCTGAATACAAGCTGTCGGAACACCTCATTTTCCACTTGGGTAATTTACAGCCTTCAGGACTCAACACTGAATTCCACAACTTTGGAGCATGACCTCTGTCTCTATTTTTCTTACATACTACCAACATATCCTGTCTTGCTGACATTGCTCTCAATAGACTGGACCCATTTTCTCCTTTAATCACATTCATTTATACCCATTTTACATCTCCATCACCAACATTAGCACCCCTCTTGTCTTTCACTCTGGGCTCCCTCACAATTGGTTCCATCTACCACTCCTCCTTCTTTGTCAGCAACATAAAAACAATCATTTTCCAGTTCCTTTCAGTTCTGGAGAAATCAAATCGGATTCAAAAACATTAACTGTCTTTCTCTCCATTGATGTTGCCAGACTTGCTGAATTTCTCCAGTTCTTTGTTTCTATTATAAAAGACTAGCTAAGCAGCAGGAAGCAGAGAGGAAGGATAACGATCAGGGACTGTAATTGGCAGAATATGATTGGGGTAGAAACATCTAGTCAAATTTTGTCTTTGTTATCGATATCACATTTTTAAAGCACATTCTAATACATTAGTTTTGGTGCAGATTTATATTAAAAAAAAAGCAACATTCCTAAATAACGATGTCAGCCACCACCTTGATTTTCAATTTAATGCAATTATTACAGTACTATGTGTATTGCAAGTGCACCAAAATTTAGTATCAGTTTCAGGGCTGATCTGGTCTTTTTGTTGCTTTCAACTTCCACAACTAAACATTTGTACTTGACAACAAAATAAGAACAAAACCCATGATGCAGAGGTGGTGCTTTCTGGCTTCAGGAGCAGCATTGAACTTCTTTCTCCTTTCCCGTGGAGGTGACAAGTGGAAAAGGGGAGTGCAACCAAGAGGCAGCCATTGCTGTGTTTATTGAAGCGATCCTGCCTGAGTTCATGGTTCACAGGAGCAACGTCAAGTCATAGGTAATGCCATTAAAAATGGCAAATTGAAATTGGGAGGTAGCTAGTTGCCAAGCAAGATTCAGATGCCGTTCCCCTCTTCAGAACCTTGAGCAACTTTATTAACATGGAGGCTCTCCACATTGTATCAACCATTGGTTGTCACCTTCCTAGCTCAACCAGGAAAATACCTTGGCTTCAACACAGTGCAGGTACTTGAAGGTACTGCCCAGGTCAGGCCAGCATCTCCCACCAGTCCCAGATGCTAGCCTTTGATCATAGAAACACGCATGGTTAAAACGAGGATTTCTAGCAGTTCCTTGTTTCTGGTGCAATGAGCAGGGGTGAAGGCAGTAGGCTGGCTGAGGGAACATGAAGCACGTTTCTATATGGCAGAATGTATTTCTTTAGCATACCATTCTTCAGAGGAAACATTAGGCATAGCACATAAGAGTTGGCTGCATTGTTTTTTTGTGTCAATTGTGTAGTCAGATTTGTTTCCTTAGGAGGCCGAGCATGATCTCAACATTAAATATTGACAAAATTGCTACAACTGGGCCACAGTTAACACCTATATTTACATCTATCCAATAATCAGCTTCAAGATGTAAATCACTCCCAAAAGGAGACAAAATTCTGGGTCACAGACAGTTTGACTGACATTCACCACTCTTTCACCCCTGCTCCCAGCAAGGCCAGGCCACTAGCCAATTATGAAAGCCTGCCTCAGTTAGTAAGGGTTGCAGGAACTGATCTGGATTTTAAATTTCAATGTGGAAAACTTGGTCTTTAGGTAAGCTCGTTGTTAGTAAAGCAATTGTACAAACAGCAAATTTGTTCAACTGCGCATGAAATGTGGTCCATGACAGCTGATGACCATGGAACCCACATCCATGTGAGCCAATACCTCAGCTGAAACAAGTGCCTGCAGCAGGATTCATACTCCAGCAAGCGACAGCGTGTGTGGATGCTGAAATCCAGAGAGTGAGCTCATGAGACCCATACCCCAGTGAGCGTCAATGTCTTTGGAGTGCATATTTTAGTGTTTATGGAAACCAGCACCCATTGAACTTAAAAAACCCAGTTTGAGTATCTGTCCTTTAGGTAATGCTGGGAAAAATAAGTTATAATTTTTCACAGCATAACAGAACTAGTTTTGAAGTTATTGCAATTTTAATATTTCCTATATTACTGCTACATTTGAATAAATATGCTGTGCTTCTTGACCATTTTCCATCAAGGTCTGAAAAACTGAAGGTTTCAATTGATTGGGAAAATGTTAAATTCACCGATGGCTTAAACTCGATCAATAACACTTAGATCCCCACAAACCCAAGCTTTCCAACAAGCCAAAAGAACAGCAGCAATTGGAAAACAGCAGCAAAATCATGTACAGCCAAGGCAATGCTAAGAGTGCAAAAGAAATTTAAGTTGCGTTTCACTTTGCTGTCAGTGAGCAGAATGCCTCCAACATGCTCTCAGCAGTTGAGTTCTAAATCAAGTTTAGGTGTCTCACAAGGCTGCAAGGAGGTTCTTGGATCAAATTTGGGGTGAGTTTTTCTGTGTGTTGTGCGTGTATGCATGTGAGATAGAGACTGAAATGAGAAGGGTCCACAGCAATCCCTAGTCAGCATTCAGCCGTACTCTTTTTGCAGTGCAGGGACATGTGTATCCTCATCTTCCTGAAACTCTCCTGCCATAGGGTTTGATTTTCAAGATATTTTGAGACCAGTTGCACGACGCAGCGAGCTTTCCCTTTGTTCATGAGATGGTTCCTTTAAAAATGATGGGAGCCAGAGCATTGACATTTATCAGGATTGGAAATTGACCAACTTCACTTAGAGGTTGTTTGTGCATTAAACGTTACTTCAGCAAGTTTAAACCAGCCTCAGAGTTAGCGATACATACAGATATAACACTAAACATTGTCCTTTTTGGCCACTTTCATCCCAAGTTGTGGCAGCTCTCATTGGGGTTTGGCCTCCAGTAGCACCACGCACCTTCCAGTAGATAACCAAGGGGGCTATTCCTTTCATAGTACGCCACACAATGAATACTGACAAGTGTTAAGAGACATACAAGCATTGCAGTCCTATTTCACTCAGGTAAACTGACTTATTCCTCCCTCACTTACCGTTAGGTAGTGAGGCAGTTTTAGCATGCAGACCTGATAGAGATCTGCACATTTTCTACCAAATAAATTGCATGAAATCAGGTCAGTCTTCAAATTTTTCATCCTGATACACTCTCGAGTTTCTTTGGTGCATAACCTCTTCAGTCAGAAGCATTTCAACCAATGACCTTAACACTCAGCAGCTGAGGTGACAGATTGTATATCAGTATAACATACTGTCCCGTGCCACAAATTGCGCCCCCCGAAAAAAATCTCTGCAAATGCAGCAAACATCATTCCTGGCCCCAACTTGAGGTGTTTTAGGTCTGTATTGTACAACGTTAGCCACTAGCTAATAAAAATATCCAGATGTGACAAACGGCATTTGATTAAATTTCAAAAAAGTAGTATTAAAGAAGAAACGTCTAAGTTGCATTTATGGAACATCTTGCAAAACCTCTATATTCCAAAGCACTTTAAGCTAATGACATACTGTTGGAATGTAATCAATGTTGTAATAAAGCAAATGTACGTATTGAATTTAGCAAGGTTACACAAACAGCAATGTAATAATGATCTGATAATTTGTATTTCAGTGTTGGTCCATGGATAAATATTGGCCAGGAAACTGGAGAAAACTCCCCTGCTATCCTTTAAATATTGCAATGCTGTGATCCTGTACAGCCACCTGAGAAGCTGTACTCATTAACACATTACACTCTAAAGTGTAGAGGTTGGAGATAAGAGTAAATAACACCAGAGCAAAAGCTGGGATGCCAAGTAATTCTTTATTTACAACAAATGCTCAGTGTCAAACTTTAAAACAAAGATTTCTCATTCAGCATGGGTTAGATGACAGTCTGAGATTGATAAAAAGTGGTGTTGGGGTGGGGGGGGGGGGGGGGGAGGGGAAGGAAAGGAAAGGGGGCTAAAATAAAGCAGTCTGCAGACCGTTCACATTTACTTCTCAAACCCTCATTTTTAAACCCCAAATACTGCAATAAGGCACAGTGCCAATTAACCCACATTACCAAACGTTCATTTGCCCTGATTTAAGGATGAGCAGGAATTCTCCCCATTATGAGACATCTTTATGATGTTCCCGCCTCCTCAGCTGTTTACATACTTTAATTTTTCCAGCTCCAGAAATATCGAAGGAATAATCAGACGTTACGTACGGAACTTCTCCTGTCACTTCAGGCTGAAAAGGAAATAAAAATAAGTCAGCATGACAGGGGAATCTGTCAGACCATCACTTCAGAATTTCAAGCTGTTCCAAAGTTTCTGCTCCATGGCAATGGAGATGAAACCTTGACTCACTGGCACCTTCCCTTTGCTCTGCAGTTTACCTCTGCTTCTCTTCAATCACCTAGCCATTCACTGGATCAAAGACCCTGGGCAACCTTAACCAGAAATAATAAACTGCCCTTTCCTGAAACATTAATCACTTCAAAACTCTTCAAGAGTCAAAGAAACTCTGTGGTACATCCCACCTAGACTCGTATGTGTACAGTAGGCTTGTTCGTGATGTATGAAAGTGTCCACAGCATAAGGTCCAATATCTCAAGGCAAGTTTTATTCATGTGCACATGACAGAGATGGCGCAGTCCAGTAATCAAGGCCAAATGCCAGTGCTGTGTATACTTCCTTTTAGGAGCAAATAAATGCAGATGCTGGAATCTGTACTGAAAACAAAAAATGCTGGAAGTCACAGCCAGTCAGGCAGCAACCATGGAGCAAAAGCAAGCTAACGTTTCAAGTCTAGATGACTCTTCATCAGAGCTGACGTGAAGTGTAGAGGGAGCAGCATTTATGCAATAGTGTTGGGGGGCGGTGGAGTGCTGGAGGAAGAGAGGCTGCTGATAGTGCAGATTAAGTAATCGGAATTTGTTTTCAGTATGCTTCCATTTGTTGTGATGCTGCAACAATGAAATCCACAATGGCCAGCAATTTTTTTGTTTCTGGACTTCACTTTTCCCTTGTGTACCTTTCTCTGAATTTTCTCCCCAACTGTTTTTCCTTGTACGCATGTTTAGGTATCAGCATCACTGTGTTCAGGGATAATTATTGGCCAGGAACCTGGAGAGAAATCCTCTAGTCTTGTTCAAACATTGTCCTCTCAGGTGGGTGTTAAGGATCACCATACCTTAGCCAAGCTGATGCAGTGCAGTTATATCATTGGCATCTATCTGGCAATGGGAAAATTGCCTAGATATGCCTTGCCCAAAAAAAGTGAAATCCATCCCAGTCAAAAACCATTATATACAAGGTGTAATCAAGTGACACTTACTCAAAAACACTTGCTCACTGATGCTCAGTTTGGGATCCACAAGTGAGATGGAATGCTCGCCAGTTGCCTTGATGAATGCAGCTCCAATACCATAAACAGCTTGACACCGCTCAGCACAAAGCTGTCTACCTGACTGGCATCCTGTCTAGCACCTTCTACATTCGCTCCCTCCACCACAGACACACAGTGGCAGCAGAGTGTCCCATGTGCGAGACGCACTGTCACAAACTCACTAAGATTCCTTAGACAGCAGCTTCCAAACCACAACCTCTGCAACCTAGAAGGATAAGCAGATACATGGTAATGTCATCTCCTGCAAGTTCCCTTCCAAGTCTTGGAATATAATCACTATTCCTTCACTGTCACTGGGTCAAAATCTTGGATCTTCCTCTGTAACAGCACGGTGGGTCAACTCATATCACATGGACTGCAATGGATTAAGGCCGCAACTCATAACCATCTTCACAAGGACAATCAAGGATGGGCAATAAATGATGATCTTGCTAGCAAATTAGTGAATAAAAAAGGTTATTACAAAGGATCATTCATCTCTGCAACAAAATAGCTGGAAACAACAGTGAACTAAATATATTTACAGCATGGGCAAAACTAGCAAACAAACTTTACAGCAACGCCTGCATGCACCCCAATGTGCGATTATCCAGCAAGTACCCCAAGCCAAACACAACTGAACACCATTAACCCTGCAGATGTACCATTATCTATTTAAAACACCAGATTTGCCCAAAAACATACCCTAGCAACACTGCCTGCTCAACAGATGCGACCAATCAATGGCCCCTTGCATTCTCACTAACAGAATCCACTGAAATGACTCCATCCAACACATATGGTCCATGAAGAAAATCAACTGTGCAACTGTATTTAATACTAATTCTTCAAATCAAAAGATTCAGTATTATTTCAGCATTTGTTTCTCGGGTTCCCTCAACAACATGGCTAGTGCAGCAGTAGTGATTACTAATATTCCAGGTGAGCAGATCACACTCTTCGTAGTTCAGTAATCATGGTAGTTCACGTTCCACTTACCTGGTTCCTGAAAAGTGAATGGGGGATGGTGACTGCTCCAATCAGCAAGCAATTAACCTGTTTTAGCCTGGCCACAGGAACCGGTGTCAGTATATAATACAATCTCTTCTCCAAATTAATCCCACGAATTATTCCTATGGAGAAAAGGTATAAAATTAATCCAAATAGTGAATATCCAGATGTCTTACAGCAAAGACCAAATCACACGTGTAGCACAAACCTGCTCAATAATCATTCAATTTATTTTAATAGCAATCACTTGAGTCTAGTTCATACTCATCAAGTGCAAGTGAGACACAATCACATAGCTCCACTGACCTGGAAACAAAATTCCAGCCTTCAGTCAAGTTTTGGACTAAGATTTAGAGCCACCCTTGGCAGTCGTGTTATTGGACAGCACCCACTTATATGTAGGTTTAAAGTGCAAACTCATTTCATATAGGATTCTTGGCCAGTTGAGTGAGGGAAAAAAATTCATCCCATTGGTTAGAGCAGGACTGGGAAGGCATTGTCATTATAACCGCATACATTGTAAGAAGCTTGTGTTGCAGCTTGGCTCAGTTGATATTACCCTTGTCTGTACACCATTCAATAAATCTGAGCACACAATCTAGGTCTGCAGTGCAATACTGTCCTAAGACATTTTTGCACTGTCAGACAGTCATCTTTGTGGAAGACTTTAAACTTGATGAGGTGACAATGAAAGGGACAGCCTTTAACATCAAGGCCACATTCGACTGAGTGTGGCACCAAGGAAACCTAGCAAAACTGGAATCAAATCGTATGAGGGGTTAAACTCTCAGCTGGTTGGAATCATGTGCAGCGCATAGGAAGATTGTTGTGCTTGTTAGGGGTCAGTCACTCCAGCTCCAGGAGATCTTTGTATGAGTTCTTCAGGGTAGTGTCCCAGGCTCAACCATCTTCAGCTGCTTCATCAATGACCTTCCCATTGTAAAGTCAGATGTGGGGATGTTTGCCAATGACTGCACAATGTTCAGTGCCATTTGTGACTTCTGATACTGAAGTAGTCAATGTTCAAGTGTGACAAAATATGAACAATTTCCAGGCTTGGGGTGACAAGTGGCAAGTAACATTCGTGCCACACAAATTCCAAGCAATGACCATTTGCAATAAGAGACAATCTAATCACTGCCCCTTGACATCCAATGGTGTTACCATCACCAAATCCCCCACTATCCACATCCTTGGGGTTACTACTGATCACAAATTCAACTGGATTTGCCATAAAAACAGTGGCTACAAGAGTAGGTCAGAGGCTGGGAATACTGTGGCAAGTAACTCATCTAACTCACAAAGCCTGTTCACCATCTACAAAGGCACAAGTCAGGAGTGTGATCGCATACTCGTCACTTGCCTGGATGGGTGCAGCTTCAATACCACTCAGGAAACTTGACAAAGTCCAGGACAAAGCAGCCTGCTTAATTGGCACCATATGTACTCCACCCACCACTGACACTCAGTAGCATTAGTGTGTACTATCTACCAGATGCGCTGCAGAAATTCAAAGTTCCTTAGACAGTACCTTCCAAAACCATGACCACTTCTGTCTGAAAGGACAAAGGCAGCAGATACATGGGAACACCATCACCTGCAAGCTGTGCACCGAGTCATTCACCATCCTGACCTGGCAACATATCGCCATTTCTTCAGTGTTACTGGGTCAATATCCTGGCATTCCCTCCTTAAGGTCATTGAGAGTCAACTTACAGCAGTTTAAGAAAGCAGCTCACTACCACCTTCTCAACAGCAACTAGGGATGCTGTCCAGCCAGGGATGCCCATGCCCCATGTGTGAATAAATTAAAAAAAACACAACTTAGGACACTTCCGTTTTCCTACATCGACTCAATTCTCCCAGAGTATTGACTAAACATTATTCCCCTAATCACACATTTATTATTTATAGGACCTTGCTGTTGCATCTGAATACACAATATTGATGACAAGACTGCAAAGATAATTTAGTGACATGACAACACCATGGCCTGTGAAAGCAAATGACACTTGATGGTATCTGAAAACAGGTGACCAGAGTGTGTAGGAGATGCCTGTTCCATGAATCTGAAAGCATTCGTGAGTACCAAACACTTGCACGACTGATGGTTATTTTGCACCTCAGCTCTGTTAAACTGCTAAGCTTCTGCACTGTACACTGGAAATGTAGAGAGATTGGACAGTGAACAACACACTTCTATCTAATAGGATGTGATCTTGTACAAGTCTCGGTACTTACCAATACCAAAACAGTCACATATTGGAGGCTTTGGGAGCAATACAGGCCCATCTGCCTGGGAGCAGACAACATCTGGTATTCTGCATAATCCAACTAAACTGGCATTGGCTGCATACAAAATGTTGGTAGGAGTTACATCACAATGTAACACATGCAGAGCAACTGCACTAAATGGCACCTGGAAAACAAAAGCCAGTTTTGTTCTTAGAAAATTATCCATTGACACCCTGCAGCTCCACAGTACGTGCCAACATCCAATATTACTTGCATCTGGAATCCAACACTGTCCCATCCTACACAGGACCCAAACTACTACATGGCACGACACCTAATACTACCATTTAATTAAAGGGAAAACGACTTGGATAACAATGTTCAAAACATATTGCCTCCATTAAAGTTTAATTTACCGACTTCTTTTTTCAGTAGTAATGCTCCTGTCTAGAATGCTATAACTTTATTCCCCCCTCATAATCAGATATGTAGATCCCTCAATCGTGCCAAGCTACAGACATTGAAAGCATCAAGTCTAGGTCCAACAGGGAAGTTCAAACAATATTAACTCGATTTTTGAAGAAAGGAGCACTATTACGAAGCAGCTCTGCCCATCACAAAACACATTACCCTGTCTGCATATTTCAAAGTCTTTTATCTCACAGTATCCTGATGGATAGTGAACTAAATTAGAAGCAGAAAGTAAAGGGCAACATCCACAAGGAGGGGTGGGAGCACATTCTGCAGTCAAATAACAGGATCCTAAAGGAATGACTGGAAGGTACCATATAAAATCTATTTTTCTGTAATTTACCTTAATGGAAAGGCAGTTGGGAAAAGTTGCTCTTGAAACCACATTAAAAACAGCAGGCTGCTTCTAGCCACAACTTATACCTCCTCTTAAACCCACCACTCAGAATTCACCCCAGGTCAGTATCTAAAAATATCACTGTCAACTTGTTGTTATTTTCCAAATGAAGCTGGCAGATCACTTTGCCACCATTCCACTGATTCATTATATAGGCACACATTATATTGCTTTTGGAGCTCATCTCATGTTCAGAACAAGCTAATTTCTATGCCATGATCTTATGTCCATCATGTTGGATTATATTGTATGTTGATGGATGGATTGGCTCATCGGAGATTGCACACAGTCTCCAAAAGTTAAATTCTCTAAAAAGGCTTCCTTGTCAAGCAGCAGAATTAACCTCAGTTCTCATAAAATAATGCACCCTGTGGTAAACTGCGTCACACAAAGCAAACACAGGGAAACACCTGTGCTATGACTCATGCCCTAAACTTTAAAACTTTCAGCTGACAGAAATAACTGGAGATGAATGGGTAAAGGAGTGTTGGTACCTGATAGGGTAGCGTGCTGTGCAACAGCAAGGGACACCCAGTGTCTGATGGCTGCAGTTGGCTAAAATAACCCAGAAGAGCCAACTCTCTTAAGACATTGCTGCGGAACTTCCTGAAAAACAAGGCAGTAGAAAGGTTCTGTCAGGACAGCAAGTTTCAGTTTTTTTTTTGCATCTGTAAACACAAATCAACAGTACAGCTGGTAACAGTACATGTATGACAACTGTGAAGCTGAACCCACCAGGAAGGGATGAACTGTTAGTGCCTTTTCTTTGTAAAGGGAGGTTGAGGGATAATTTAATAGAGTTTTTTTTAAATTGCATGGTGTTTTGACTGAGAAAACATTGTTACCACTGTAAGGGAGAGCAATACCAGTGATCGTTGATAAAAGATATCATCTAGAAATCAAAAAGGAAATTCGGAAGCAATTTCAGCATGCTGTGAATTTGGAATCGTTGAGTGTTCTACTATAGAAGCATTTAAACGGAAATCCGATAAGCATGTAAGGGAGGAAGGCAACAGAAGGAAATGGCGATATTGAGGAAGGATGGGAGGAAGTCTGAATTGGAGAATAAATGTCAGCAAGGCCGGGAGAGAAGGATCTTGGAGATGATGGTGTTCCTATGTTCCTGCTGTCCTTGCCTTTCTAGGTGATAGAGGTCACAGGTTTGGGAGCTCCTGTCAAAGAAGCCTTGGTGAGTTACTGCAGTACATTCTGTAGGTAGTACAGACGTATCATGGTAGCAGAGTGTGTGGATGTTTAAGCAAAATTCTCTGCTTTATTACAAACTGGCTGTATTCATCTGTTGGGGAGGTTGTTACAATGTGCACATATTAACACAATAGAATAACTGACACAGTTTTATACTTACAAACAGCTTCCCTCTCCCACTCCAGGGAACTCAGACTGAACACGCATCAACCTATGCCCCCGGAATCCTCCCTGCAGGGTTACATGATCCTCTTCTTCCTCCTCCTCCTCCTCCTCTGATAAGCTCAAGGGCATCTTGAAATCTATAGGCTTTTGCTGAATGTGATGCTTTCCCTTAGTTTGCCATCCAGCTGCTGTCCGCACAAACTCTGGTGTGAGGGGTGGAGGATCCTGGTTCCTTTCAGCACTGCCAAGCTGCACCACGTGGGTTGGGGCCAAGAGCCGAATCAGATCAACCAAAATCGACAAACCAAATCCTATTGGGAAGAATAGGGTGGGGTGGGGCACAAAGAAAATCAGTCAGATTTGAGGGGGGACTAAGATCACAAGTAGCGCAGGTATTACAGGTAATGTATTGGCATGGATAGAGGATTGGTTGACCAGTAGAAAGCAAACAGTAGGGGTAAATGGGTGTCTTTCTGGTTGGTGGTCAGTGGCTAGTGGTGTGCCTCAGGGATCAGTGTTGGGACCTCAATTGTTTACAATTTACATAGATGATTTGAAGTTGGGGACTAAGTGTGGTGTGTCAAAATTTGCAGATGACACTAAGGTGCGTGGTAGAGCAAAGTGTGCAGAAGACACTGAAAGTCTGCAGAGGGATATAAATAGTCTATGTGAGTGGGCAAAGGTCTGGCAGATGGAGTACAATGTTGATAAGTGTGAGGTCATCCATTTTGGTAGGAATAACTGCAAAATGGACTATGTTTTAAATGGTAAAAAATTTCAGCACGCTGCTGTGCAAAGGGACTTGGGTGTCCTTGTGCGTGAATCGCTGAAGGTGGGATTGCAGGTGCAGCAGGTAATTAAAAAGGCAAATGGAATTTTGTCTGCCATTGCTCGAGGGATGGAGTTTAAAAACAGGGAGGCTATGCTGCAGCTGTATAGGGTCCTGGTGAGGCCACACCTGGAGTATTGTGTGCAGTTTTGGTCTCCTTACTTGAGAAGAGATATACTAGCACTGGAGGGGGTGCAGAGGAGATTCACTCGGTTGATTCCAGAGTTGAGAGGGTTGGATTATGAGGAGAGACTGAGTAGACTGGGATTATACTCATTGGAATTCAGAAGAATGAGGGGAGATCTTATAGAAACATATAAGATTATGAAGGGAATAGATAAGGTGGAGGCAGGGAGGTTGTTTCCACTAGCAGGTGAAACTAGGCCTAGAGGGCATTGCCTCAAAATAAAGGGAAGCAGATGTAGGACTGAGGTCAGGAGGTACTTCTTCACCCAAAGGGTTGTGAATCTGTGGAATTCCCTGCCCACTGAAGTGGTTGAAGCTACCTCACTGAATGTTTTAAGGCAAGGCTAGATAAATTTTTGAACAGTAAAGGAATTAAGGGTTATGGTGAGTGGGCGGGTAAGTGGCGCTGAGTCTCAAAGATCAGCCATGATCTTATTAAATGGTGGGGCAGGCTCGAGGGGCCAGATGGCCTACTCCTGCTCCTAGTTCTTATGCTCTTATCAGGGGTACCGAGATGTGTACATATTAACACACGCAAACCTCTGTGGAACAAACATTATATATTCTAGTCTACATCTTATCCCTCAGATAAGACTACTTGGGTGGGGCTAGTTTTACTCAATGTTTTAATTTTCTACGTAAAAACAGGTTTCTGATAAATTTTCTAGGTCATTTCAGAGAATAACAAAACCAATAATGTAGTGTGGGATGCAGTCAGATACAAAATGTATTTTGCTGTGGTTGGTTTGCTCGCCAAGCTGGTTCATTAGTTCGCAGACTTTTCAATACCCTGCTAGGTAACATCATCAGTGCAGCCTCTGATGAAACGCTGTTGTTTTCCCCTGCCTGGTATTTAAACTCTGGGGTCCGTTGGAATTGGTTCCTCATTTCCGGTTTTTCTTCGCAGTGGTGTATATATAGGGTCTAATTCTAATTTTACGTGTTTATTGATGGCCTTCTTGGTGGAGAACCAAGCCTCTAGAAATTCCCGTGCTTGTCTCTGGCTTGTCCCAAGATCCTGATGTTGTCCCAATCGAACTGGTGGTTCTCCTTATCCGTGTGAATGGAGACGAGTGAGTACTGGTCACGTCTTTTTGTTGCTAGTTGGTGTTCATGTATTCTGGTGGCCAGTTTCCTTCCAACGTAACGTATGTCGCAGTCTTGATACAGTCATTGGACAGACAGGAAGGAAACTGGCCACAAGAATACACAAACACCAACTAGCAACAAAAAGACGTGACCAGTACTCACTCATCTCCATTCACACAGATAAGGAGAACCACCAGTTCAATTGGGACAACATCAGAATCCTAAGATAGGCCAACAGAGACAAGCACAGGAATTTCTAGAGGCTTGGTTCTCCACCAAGAAGGCCATCAATAAACACGTAGAATTAGAATTAGACCCTATATATACACCACTGCGAAGAAAAACAGGAAATGAGGAACCAATTCCAATGGACACCAGGGTTTAAATACCAGGCAGGGGAAAACAACAGCACTTCATCGGAGGCGGCACTGATGATGTTACCCATCAGGGTATCGAAATGTTTGCGAACTAATGAACCAGCTCAGCAAACGAACCAACCTGAGCTACAAATCTACTCAAGAACCTTAGACAATTGTAATTTGTTCACAACTCATAAAAATTGATATAATCATAGAATACCTACAGTGTGGAAGCAGACTATTCAGCCCATTGAGTCCACACCAATCCTCCAAAGAGCAACCCACCCAGACCCACCCCGCTACCCTATCCCTATAAACCTGCCCTTCTCATGGCTAACTCACGTAGCCTGCAAATCCTGGGACACCATGGCAATTTCCTATGGCCAAACCAGCCAGTCTGCACATCTTTGGACTGTGGGAGGAAACCCATGTAGACACGGGGAGAACGTGCAAACTCCACATAGACAATCGCCCAAGGGTAGATTTGAACCCTGGTCCCTGGCGCTATGAGGTAGCAGCGTTAACCACTGAGCCACCAAGCTGCCCCTTAGTGGTTGAAGGTGGAACCCCTAACCCATGAAGGTAATTCAACTTTACATCACAATTACCCTTCAGGTCTACCAAAGGGATTAAGTGAAGGGCTATTATTTCCTTTAAATCTATAGCCAAAAATCATATCAATATTAAATGTAACAATACCCAACAAAATGAACAAAAGCAGTAGACTGCAACATTATCAAAAGATGTTTCTGCATTCAGTTTATTTATCAATACACCCCGGAATACCAAACACAATCTGTGTTAACCAACACCTTACAAAATCAGCACTCTCGACAAACTGGCAAAAATTAAACACTTCAAATACCGGAAGTTTACTATATTATCATAAGACCATAAGACATAGGAGCAGAAATTAGGCCATTTGGCCCATCGCGTCTGCTCTGCCATTCAATCATGGCTGATAAGTTCCTCAAACCCATTCTCCCGCTTTCTCCCCACAACTCTTGATTATCAAGAACCTATCTATCTCAGTCTTAAATGTACTCAATGACCTGGCCTCCACAGCTTTCTGTGGCAATGAATTCCATATATTCACCACTCCCTAGCTGAAGAAGTTTCTCCTTATCTCCATTTTAATAGGTCTTCCCTTTACTGTAAGGCTGTGCCCTCGGGTCCTAGTCTCTCCTACAAATGAAAACATCTTCCCAACATCCACTTTGTCCAGGCCATTCAGTATTCTGTAAGTTTCAATTAGATCTCCCCCTCATTCTTCTAAACTCCAATGAGTATAGTCCCAGAGTCCTCAAACGTTCGTCATATGTCAAGCTTTTCATTCCTGGGACCATTCTCGTGAACCTCCTCTGAACCTGCTCCAGGGATCTCTGTGATATTCGAATAGTCAGTTGAGGCTGTGAGTGAGAATACTCTCTGCTGGTAAGTTTTATTTAAGGCAAAGTTGCATTACTATTTAAGTAATTTTTGCTGTAAAGTATAAAACAGTGATGTGTATATCCCCTACGTTACATTTCCATTACATAGTGTGTGTGTTTTACATTGATTAGGTAGACCTCTTGATCAACAGGAGAATTTGATTTCACACTTCTGGTCCCATAGGCACCAGTTAACAAAACGTTTGCTGTATTTAAATTGTACAATGGAGACAGAGGTGTCCGTAGAGTCTTGGGGCTGTACAGCACGGAAACAGGAGCTTCAGTCCAACACGTCCATGCCAACCAGATATCCTGAATTAATCTGGTCCCCACTGCCAGCATTTGGTCCATATCCTTCCAAACCCTACCAATTCATATACCCATCCAGATACCTTTTAAATGATGTAATTGTACCAGTCTCCACCACTTCCTCTGATAGCTCATTCCATACACACACGTAAAGGACAAAAAGTTGTCCTTTAGGTCCCTTTTAAAACTTTCCCCTCTCCCTCTCACCTTAAAACTATGCCCTCTAGTTTTGGAATCCGCTACCCTGGGGAAGAGACCTTGGCAGTTCACCTTATCTATTCCATTCATGATTTTATAAACTTCTATAAGGTAATGCCTCAGCCTCCAGGGAAAAAAGCCCCAGCCTATTCAGCATCTCCCTGTAGCTCAAACCCTCCAATTTCAGCAACATTCTTGTACATCTTTTCTGAACTCTTTCAAGTTTCATAACATCCTTCCTATAGCAGGGAGACCAGAACGGAACGCAGTATTCCAAAAGTAGTCTAACCAATGTGCTGCACAGCCTCAATATGATCTTCCAACCCCTATTCTCAATGCATTGACCAATAAAGGCAGGCATACCAAATGCCTTCTTCACTCTCCTGTCTACCTTCGACTCTACTTTCAAGAAACTACGAACCTGTACTCCAAGGTCTCTTTGTTCTGCAACTCTCCGCAGAACCTTACCATTAAGTGTATAAGTCCTGCCCTGATTTGCCTTTCCAAAGTGCAGCACCTCACATTTATAAGTTCATCAATAAGGATTTGCCACAACAGCAAGAGTGTTAGGACTTAATGAAAGGTATGAGAAACTTTCCTAACTTCCTGACAGTCAGCATGTCTGGACTGTACCATTTTCTAAATATAGGCAGTTAACCAGATAAAACAGGGGCTGCTAATTGGTGGGGACTCCACCAAAAATAATTCAATCTTGCAACTTGCCACAGTGGCATTTGAACTCATGAGGTTTGACCGTTAGTTCAGTTTCAGAATCACAACTGTTATGGTGCAGAAAGTGGCTGTTCAGCCCATTATGCCTGCACTGACTCAGTGAATTAGCACCATCACTTTGTGCCATTCTCCTGGCCTTTTCCTGTAACTCTGCACACATTACTTCTGCTTAAATAATCATTTACTGCTCTCTTTAACGTCTTGATTGACCCTGGTTCTACCATACTTCCAGGCATGCATTCCAGACACAAACTACTTGCTGTTAGAAGAAAATTGTTTCTCATCATATTTACTACTTTTGAAAATCACTTTAAACCTGTCTTTGTGGCTTGATCCCTGTCCAAACGTCTCATGATTTTGACAATTTCAATCAAACCTCCTCTCCGGCTTCTCCTCTCCTTGGAAAACAGACCCTCTACAATTTCAGAAAGAAACAAAGATGTGCAGTGCCTTTTATGCCCAGGAGCACTTTGCATCTTGCAGTTGACAGCTGCCAACAGTTAAGGAATGACGGAAAATGAAACCTCCAATCAGGATAAACAAGTAGACCTGGACTCACTTCATCAGAAGTAGGAACTCTTCCTGGAGAATCCAAAATGCCATACATACTTCCCTGACCTGTCAGTCTCTGATCATTAGCAGAAAAACCACCACTTGCACAACCCCCACCTCTTACATCTAGTAGGCAATTCAACTACTGCTTCCATTGTTGCATTGTGATCCATTCACCAAATTTTGATTGACCTCTCACTTAGAGCTGGCCTTCTGCCAACTGACCTCAGGTAATCCTGTAAATTAACATACCCATGATAGGGTGTTTCCAGTTGGAGGAGATGGATGCCAGGCAATGCTCTACATAGTTAGGAGGTCCACACTTTTGGGTATAACCTGTGCTTAATCTCTGTGACTCACATATGGGTTACGCTTCCTTACAGAAGCAGTGTGCATTCTATAAGACTCCATGTGGAGTGATTATGTGCACTGTGTTGGACACAAAATGACTTCTGAAGAAGGGTCTAGGCCCGAAAAGTCAGCTTTCCTGCTCCTCTGATGCTGTGGCCTGCTATGTTCATCCAGCTCTACACCTTGTTATCACAAAATGACTTTAGCTGTGTTTTGAGGGCGTTGCTGCTGTCATAAAACAGATTCAGAAACAAATGAAAATTTCCAGTCAACATAATGTTAACACACAAATCATCACTGGGGCCAAGTACAACAGCAGCAGATTTAGGTAATTAGCTGTGATGTCAAGGGATGCAAATTCACTGCTTCTAAAGCCTCTCCCAAACAGAAGCACAGTGCAGGACAGGAACGAGACAGAAACTTGTTTAGTCATATGAACAACAAAAAAAGCCAGCAGAGTAGAAGGCTGTGAGTAGTAGGGATGGTATGGTGGAAAACAACTTCTGCATGAATAATGTCCACTTTTTGAGATAGTGGAGTACTTTAGCAGAAAAATGTGTGTTTTTAATATAATGCCTTTCCTAACATTCATGCTTCAAGACATCTCATACGCTTGTTTATAAAGCAAAATTTGACCAAGTCAAGTAGATGACCATAAGCTCAGTCAAAGAAGTTAGTTCCAAGAATCACCTTAAAGGGAGAGAAAAGAAAATGGATAGAGGTAACATAGTGTGGAGCTGGAGGAACACATCAGGCCAGGCAGCATCAGAGGAACAGGAAAGCTGATGTTTCAGGTCGGGACCCCATTTCTGAAGAAGGGTCCCGACCTGAAACGTCAGCTTTCCTGTTCCTCTGATGCTGCCTGGCCTGATGTGTTCCTCCAGCTCCACACTGTTATCTCTGACTCCAGCATCGGCAGTTCTTATTATCTCTAAATGGATAGAGGTATTGGGAGGGAATTCCAGAGCTTAGGACCTTGGCTGCTGAAGGTATAGTTGCCTATGGTGAAGTTATTAAAACAAAATTGGAATCCTTGTATGAACCAGCACCCTTCAGGAGGTTGGAAGACAAAATTACACACAAAAAAAGCAAAACGAAGAAAATGAAATCTATCGCCAATACTTGTTAGATTTCACTCAAGAGCTTTAGTCTGACCTTTGACCCAGCCCATGGTGTTTATGACCAAAGGTGTTTCCTTCTTGCATCCAGCATATAGATACTTTGCAGTTTCCAGATATCGATCCAAGTCCCGCTCACAGGACACATCACCATAATACAACATCTTACGGGGCTCACACTGGTGCATGTAAGGAGGGCCTGTAAAAGGGATAAAACAAAATACAGCATACAAGTGAGAGCAAGCACAAAACACAAGGGACAGCAGCATTGAAGATTTTGTTGTTAATGGCTATCTTAAACATGTCAAAAACTAAAATGAGGATGGAGGATATACTCTGTGCTTGCTTTTGCAGCTTTTGAAAGCAATTGGGATACACTTTTTACTCTCTTCAGCTCCACATTGTCTAGTTACTTGCTGCGAGATTCCGGAGTAAAAAATTGTTATTGGTCCATAGTTCCACAGATATTAATGACACTGAGCCAATAAATACCAAGACTTGGTATTGCCTTACTGAATTCTAGCTAGCCCACTCTGCTTGGTATCAACCAACACAGCTGATACACAGGGCTTGACAAAATATCAGGATTACTCAGCCTGAAGACTGAATCAAGAATCTGCCTTCTTCTCTCTTTCCTGTGTCAATCTTTCCAATAACCTCTTACAATTTTTATGCCATCCAGCATTTATATGCCTTTCCTTCCTCACCTTCCTTCAGATCTTCCCTCCGTACCGTATCTTACAGGTTGCCCTCTTCATAAGCAGTGCTCTGCCTGGGGTCTCTGCCTTTTCTCAATTAAATTCAGCAAATGTCTTCGTTTGTTCAATCACCTGAGCAGTCTGCCATTTGTTACTTCCTCTGTCCAGCTGACCCTCTATCTCCTCCAAACTCATTTCAAAGTCATTTAGCAAGCTGATCTCCATTTTCTAGAAGCTCAAAGTCTCTCATGCATATAAAATGACATTCCTAAACCAGCTCTCAAGTCTTTTCTGTCTTTCAACTTTCCAGTTAGCTACAGCATCTTCTTACCAAATACAGATCTTGCCAGTGTTATTCTTGTTCTTGTTTTTGATGTACTTCTCCTAAACAACTGAATTTTTACACCTGCTCTACCTCTTTTTCTTCCATGAACATCAAAATATTTCTCAACAATTCTGACATTTGCACTTTGCTTTTGCAAAGAGTGGCATGGTGGCTCAGTGGTTAGCACTGCTGCCTCACAACGCCAAGGACCTGGGTTCAATCCCACCGTCGGGTGACTGGAGTTTGCACGTTTCCCCTGTGTCAGCGTGGGTTTTCTCTGGGTGCTCTGGTTTCCTCTCACAGTGCAAGGTTGAGCAGGTTAGGGAGGTTGGCCAGGCTAAATTGCCCATAGTGTCCAGGGATGTGCTGGCTAGGTGAATTAGCGGTGGGAAACGTAGGGTTATAGAGTAAGGAGGTGGGTCTGGGCGTGATATTCTTCAGAGAGTCAGTGCAGACTCTAAGGGCCGAATGGCCTGCTTCCATGCTGTAGGAATTCTATGACTGGAGACTTTCATCTCATTTAGATCATGCCTAATGTTATTAGTGCATTAGCTTTTGTAACCCATTTTTTGCAGTTTCTACAAGTGTCTTGTCAAGTATAAAGCTGTTGATGAATTCCTCTTCCAATTACAGATTATTCCCACTCCCTACTGGCTACTCATTCTTGCTTATCCCATGTATACAGATTTCTTCTACCTCATCCAAAGGGTCCATTTCCATGCTGTATTACGCTACGTTTCTATCATCTCTTCAGTTTGCTCCCATGTCATTTGGCATTGCCAAGAGTTTCATCCAGTCAACTCAAATGAATGCTTTTTCAAAATCCACAAAGGCAAATGACGTTGTATTTTATGTTCAATTAACCTGTCCATCTACGTATCCAAGGTTGTGCTGAGAAATATAACAAAGAGTAAGTGGCAAGGCACAGAACTACAATGGAGGTGACCAATTTGGATTCCAGAGGAGGAGTGAAATGAGGGAAGCAACTGGAATTAAAAGGTTGAGTGAATAAATGGAGTTTAGTCAGGAAATGTGTGTTGGTTTAACAAACAGCATATCAAAAATAAGTAGATATATGTGTACAAGTACAAAAGACAGCTAGGCCAGCAAAATCATTGCAGCAAGATGGGGCTGCACCAGAATGGAGGGACAGGGATTTGCTCCTTTTAATCCATCCTCCCTCTCCACGTGCACACCACAACCGTAATGGTGTATCATGAAACAAAAACAGAAATTGCTGGCAAAACCCAGTAGGTCTGGCAGCATCTGTGGGGAGAAAGCAGTGTTAACAATTCAAGTCCAGTGAATCTAAATCAGAACTGCAGTTTCAGGTTTCCAGCATCTGCAGTTCTTTGCTTTATTATGGTAGGCTGGTATTTGGTTGAATGGCTTCTCTCAGAAAAAGGGTGAAATTTGGAGATGTTAGTCAGTTTGCCATATTTTAAAATCTCAAAATAAAAACTAGGCTCCCAATGGGTGTAATGATAGAATCTGGTTCTACAGTTACCCTCTCCCTTAATGTGTAACCTTGTTCTGCACTATTTGTAATGGAGAACACCAGCACTTTGATCTGCAGCCTGTCCACCTACCTCAATACTACTTAAAATAGACTACTTACCGAGAATTGGTTCAGTCACCAAGTGTAATGCCATGCAGCCAGGGGGGCTGAACTCTGTCTGACCCAAGTCAAGCTCCAGAAACTCCACACACGGAATACTATATGGTGAGAGAGAGCATTCCTTTTTATTTGACACTTCACAGATCAGACTCAAATCTTCATGTTGATAAAATTATAAAAGGAACACAGCTTTTTGGGTTTTTAAAGGTAGGCATAGACTACCAGAATAAATCATGATAAATCTGTGCAAAAACCTGTTTAAGCCATAGTTGCCCAAGACTATTTGCAATTCAGGGTACCTCGCTATTGAATCACAGAATTTTTTACAGCACCGAAGGTGGTCATTTGATTTGCCATGCCTGTTTCAGCTCTCTGTAGGATCATTCTACCTTGGGTCACTTTCTTCCCATTCACCATGGCACTACATGTTCTCTCTTTTCAGATAACAATCCAATTCCTTCCTTAATGTCTTAACTGAAACTGCCACCACCACGTGCCAGATCCTAACTGAATGAAAATCTTTTTCATGTTGCCATTGTTTCTTTTACCAAATATGGCCTCTTGGTCTCGATTCTTCCACCAACTGGAATTCTTTTCTCCTCACAACTGCTTTGTCCACAGCTCTTATGATTTTGAATGCCTTTATTAAATCTCCTGTCAAAGTGCTCTCTCCAAGGAAAACTGCCCCATCTTCTCCAAAACTCTCTACAGAACTCAATATTCACATCCCTGGGCTATACCAGTGGATCTTTTCTGCATTCTCTCTAATGCTGTCATATTTTTCCGGAGGGTGAACTAGTGTTCTGTACAAGTTTAACGTAACTTCTTTTTATATTTTAAGCTCTAATAAATAAAGCTTTCTCAACCTATTCTGCCACTTTCATGATTTATGCACATACACACCAGGTCCCCCAGCTCTAGACTGGTACTATTTATTTTAACTTTGTACTTCTCTGCATTAAGTTTAATCTGTCTCTTGACGATCCATTCCACCAACCTGTTTACATTCTTTTAAAGTTTACACCACCCTCCTCATGGTTCACTATACTTCCAAGTTCATGTTATATTTTGAAATCGTGTCCCTTGAACCAAGGTCTGGGTTATTAATATACATCAGCAAGAGCAAGAATCCAAACACCAACCCTATACAACTTCAATATAAAACCTTCCTCCAATCCAAAAAAGACATTACTTAACTAATAGATTCCATTTCCTGAAATTCAATCAATTTTGTATCCATGTTGCTATTTTACCTTCTATTCCATGGATTGTAATTTACACGTCTGTTGTGCAGCATTTGTCATAACATCAACATCATGACCTCAAAGAAACTGCAACAAGATAGTAAAATGCAATTTTTTTCCTCAACAAATTTGCGATGGCTTTCTTCAGTTAACTGATATTTGCCCAAGTGACTAATCATTCGCCTGAAATGAATGTTTCTTGAAGCTTCTCCACAACCAAGTTATAACTGGCCTGTAACTGCTGGGTTGATCGTCAACATGTATAAATCTTCAATCTTCTTACACAGAGCATGCTAGAGCCATAACAAAGTGTTCACCTCCAGGATTATGCCATGATGGGAAATTTAAATTACAATCAGAGACTTGAGACACTGGATCTATATTCACTAGAGCAGAGGAAGCTGAATAGAGATTTACAAGTTTTAAAGTACACCGTTTTTGATATGTTGAACAAGGAATGTACAACTACACCCAATCTTACATAGTCCCAAATAGAGTAGATTCTTCATGAAAGAGTTTTTAAAAATACTGCCTACTTATTTGTTTTAAATATTACCTGTGCATTTGGAACCAGATGAAAAAGTTTTGCATAATTATTTCACAATTTTTGTATGGTGGAAAGGCCTGTTTCCCATTCTGTAGAAATTCTGGATTAGATTTCAGATTCATCCCTTTTATCTTGGGATGTGCTCCTCCTACTGGTGACCAAGGGAACCCACACCAAGCACTCCAAGGTCAACAACAGTGACAGATCCAGGGGACCGCCTCAGCGTCACTTGTGTGCTCGCTTGATCCAGGTGGCCGACCAGCAGCTTGGCAGCTCGAATGCTGATCAACGCTATCTCATTCCAGATATTCCAGGCCCTTCAATTTGCCAGAGGGCTGTGTGCATGATGGTGAGGCAGAGTGCTGTGAAGGCGGTGCAGGTCCGCACCCCACTACTCAAAGCTCAGCTACGGATTCCTTCACTAGAAGGGAGAAGCTGTCTGGTAATGTGATATGCACCGGCAATCAATTAGCACCGGCAACCTGGTCATTGCTGGGATGAAACAAATTATCACCAGTAGGCATGGGGAAAATCAAACTTGCAAAATAAAAAAACTGACTATAGCTTTGGGATTATTTTGCAGTTTTATTTTACAGCATCAAGGAAATACAATCAAGAAAATCAAAACCTGTTGTCTTTAATTCTTTGGCATATCACTGGCCATGTAGAAGACACACTTACATGGAGTTTTAGTTATTTTAGATTTGTGTTATGCACTGGGGCTGAAAATTTTGGATTTAGAACGCATTTTATGATGCTGTTCAAAAAAATGGGAAAACTCACTTGCTAGAAGTAGTTTCAATTTAAGCATTTGTTTCCAGGAATATACCTACTACTTAAAATAGGGTATTCCTGCAAACACTGTAGTGGAGATGTCAGTGATGAAGGATCGTCAATTTAAACACTAAATAAGGAGATAAATTAGACAAATGGTTTTTACAATCAAAGTCTCAGTTGGAACATTGAACGCATTATCCTAGAAAGTGGTTATGACTGATACAATTACATTTTAAAGGGGAATTAGACAAATATTTGAAACAGAAGATCAAAGTCACCTGGAGAGAAGGGGGCAACGGTATTCATTTGGAGAATTATAGGAGACAGTCGAGGAATGGAATTAAATTTGTATTACTGTTATGAGCCTACTCAGGAATGAATAGTCTCCTCTGCTGGAAAATTCTACACAGTGCTTCCCTGTTCTCAGGTGCACTTTCTGCCAAGGCAGGAATCCTGGCTGTTTGGGTTACCTCCTCAGGTTCAGGGACCCCAAAGTCAGTCACAGCTCATGATCTACTGCCCCAATTGGCTTTTCGCAGGTCAGGAACTGAATTAGGAAACTGCTGCTGTGTGGTTCACAGATTTCAATCTGCTCCCAAACACTCAGGACTTTAACTATCAACAACAATTCAACATGAAACAAACTACCAACCTTTGGGGATTAATGCAGTGCAAGTCCTGTTACTGTTAGTAACGTAACATCAAATGTTCAAATTCAAACTCTGGACACAGCTTTCACTAATTGTTGTGAGATTAACGCTAGAGGTCACAGGATTTTGAAACTTACTGATTTAGAAATGAATTCAGGAGATATCTGCTGAAGGTTGACTTCCCAAAATTCTTTCCTCCACATACCAGGATAATGGGACATCTATCATCATCTTCTGCAAGAAAACAAAAATATCCACATAGGTGCACAATTTCACAAAGAATTATTGTATCAATACCATATTTAACCACCCCTAACTCATCCAGCAAATCATCAATCTGCACACATCTACCCCCTCACTTCCAATTTCTGGCTCACTAAAACAATTCCAACACCAGACTAGTACAAACATAATAGAATATGCCTACAATTTCTAAAGTTTGTCCACAGAACTGTGAAAGATAATCACTAATGCTCTTCTGGAATTAAATAATTAGATAAAACAGTGACAGAGTGCAATGGACAAAGGCATGGTCAAGAAAAAAAAGTGGTTTATGTGAATTTTGTAACAAAATTGTTATATTTCTAACATATCAGCACATCACTAACATCTTACCCAGACATGTGTTTAAAAGTTCCTGCACAGTGGCAATCCAGCTGTCCGACATAGTTATCCCCTGATCATCAGGGAGGGGAATGACTCCAATTGAGGTCAAAGCTGAGCATTCAAGGAATGGATGTTTTCTAGAATTCAACTTCTTCTGAAAGTGAGAATCAAAACCAAAAATTAAGTTCATCATAAAGCCTGCATCAGAAATAAAATTATATACACAGACAGGCTACAACAGGGGCAATAATATCGTTACTGACAAAATTAAATACAACATAGAACATTACAGCACAGTACAGGCCCTTTGGCCCTCGATGTTGCGCCGACCTGTGAAACCAATCTGAAGTCCATCTAATCTAAACTATTCCATTATCATCCATATGTTTACTCAATGACCATTTAAATGCCCTTAAAGTTGGCAAGTCTACTACTTTTGCAGGCAGGGCATTCCACGCCCTTACTACTCTGAGTAAAGAACCTACCTCTGACATCTGTCCTATATCTATCACCCCTCAATTTAAAGCTATGTCCCCTTGTGCTAGCCATCCCCATCCGAGGAAAAAGGCTCTCACTGTCCACCCTATCTAATCCTCCGAGTCTAAAGAATTCTAATCCAAACAAGTCTAAAGAATTCAGGTCTTCAGTTGGTAAATAAAGAAAAAAATAAGGGGACCCAGTGTAAGGAAGAAAAACGGCACGGGAAATTGTTGGGTCGTAGGGACAGTCTTCCCAGCCTAAGGCTTTGTTCCACAGTGCCTGTCCTTCACCCTGTTGTTTTACCAGCCCAACTGTCTCTAATCTGTTGGCAATAAAATACTGGTCACTAACTGAATAAATGCATAACGTGGTTCACTGCAGTTTTGGTAGATTCATGATGCAGTGGCCAGAATTGCCCACACTTTCTAAGTTATCCTCGACTCCTATCAAAATCCAGCACAATCTCTGGGCACTTGCATCAACTGCTCTTGCTGAGGATTGGATTTTGAAAAAATTACTTCACCATTATTTACAGCTCTTAATCCAGGCAGTTTGAGTCAGTGTGATAGTATGAATGACTTTTATTCAGTGCTACTGATGTATATTTTTATGGTTAACATGCAATGGTTTATATTCTACCTTACAGAAGTAACTGAAGTTCAAAACTACTTCTTTAGCTGGAGTGTACATCGGAACATCCTGAATAACTTCAGATATGTGACTATGAATCTATACAAATGCAGACCTAATTTACCATTTGCTAACCAACTTCATACCTAATCTAAATACCTCTAAATCTTTTGTTGTCGTTATTTTCAATCAATCTTTTCAGACACAGTGAGACTGTCCGAGGCAGTGGGATTTGAACTCTGACCATCTGGCCCAGGGGTTGGAACACTACCACATGCCACAAAACCTAAAACGTGTATTCTATCTAATTAGGTCCCTTTTTAAGACATATCAGCTGTACAGGAATTGAACCTGTATTCCTGGTGCCACTCTGTATTGCAAATCAATTGTCTAGCTATCCAAGCTAACCAACCTTGTCTTTTGTTGCATCCTATATCTAACAATCTCATTCAGATCAGGCTAATCAACACAACAGAATTTTTATATTGCTAGAAAACTGGGCAAGTTTTCAATTAGTTTTGGTACCAGGTTGCTGCAAGATGCTACCCAACACTTCTTGATGTCTGATATCACACAACTCAAATACCATTCCCTATGAGTTTATGACTAGTATACATCTTCTGATGCTTGCGGGTTTTAGATTAGTCCCAGCAGGACCAACAAAGCACAAGGTACATACGGAAATTTAAAATGTTGCAGAACCACAGGTAATAATGCTTTTCCTTACAGCTAACACACCCGACAAAGCTCATGTTATGAACACACACTTGCAATACTCACACATAGCACAAAATCCAGAAAACATTTTCATTTTAAGCCTCTAAATCTCATGAATAACTCACTGAATGTGAAGTAAAGATTTCCCTGTACTCTGGGAAGCCAGAGAGATAAACAGTGCCAGGGGTGTCGAGATGCTCGAAGAGCAGAACAGAGCATGAAGATGTCACTTCCTTTATCAAATTGTGTCTTGATGCTGCAATGAAGAGCCACAGATATCACAAGCGTTGTTTAAACCTAGAAATCTCTCTCATCTAAATTTCCGAATGCAGGTATAGGACAGATTACAAACATACAATTAAAATATATTATTGTACGATATATATTGTTTGGACTAAGGCATAAAAAGCACATTTCAAAATTTTCAGGGGACGCAAAGCTTCAAGGCACAGTTAACAAATAGGAGGATGGTCATAAAATTCAGTAGGACACATACAGGCTGGTGGAATGGGCAGACATGTGGCAAAGTTTCATTCAGAAGTGAGAAATTGTACATTTTGGTAGGAAGAGGCAAGCAATCTAAATTAATAGCTTAATTTAAGATGGCAAGGCAGGCTGAGAAAACAGTTTTAAAAAATATGAGACCTCTAAACAGAGACATAAAGTACCGAAGTAAGGATGTTATAACAAACCTTCATAAAACATTGATGTTTTCACAAAAGGATTGTTGGGTCTAATTCTGGACATTATGCTTTGGAAAGATGTGGAGGCCTCAAAGAGGGTGCTGAGAAAAACACTAGATTGGTTCCAGAGATGAGGGACTTAATCATGTTGAACGTTTTGAGAAATGAGGATAGCCCTACTTAGAGCAGATGAGGTGGTGTGAAAATTTGATAAAGATATTCAAAATCATGACCGGCTAATTGCAGTGACTCTCAAAATGGGGTCCATGGAACACTAGCAGTCTGCTGAGACTTTCTAGGGGATTAACAGAACACTCTAGAGCAAGCGGAACAAAAAAAAAGTAAAAAGATAATAATGAATAAGATGCCACCTACTTTGCATAACAAAAGTTAGTGTTAGTCTCATACAAGGAGCTGATAAGGTGTCCAACCCTGTCCACAACTTCCAAATACATAGCTGCCTTCATGGTGATGGGTGCCTTAGTGGCCAAGGATTTCAGTGGCATTTAGTTTTGGTGCGAGGTGTAGAAGGGAAGATTAGCTGTTATCAAACCAGGGGACATTCAATTTGAGAAGCAGCATTATAAATGATCCCTTGCCTACTGAGCAATTATAGCATTTTCTGTTTATTATGTCCCTGTTGCTGGTTTGACTTGTGCAATTGTGGAAACACTGCCAGTTTGACCTACATCTTTCACCATGTTTCAATAATAAAAACTCAGGGAAATTAAGTAACAAATTGGGGTGGATTTTCGTAAAATATTCTAAGAATATTACAGTACTCACTTGAATGTGTCAAAATCGGAGGGAAGAAACTTGGCTGCTTAAGGCAAGTTTTTTTTTAAAAATGGAGAATTAACATAGTAACCTATCTTGAGCCTGCTAAATGGCTAATTATGGTTGTTGATACGATTTGGATCACTGGATGTTTGTATTGAAAGTGATCTGTGAACCGACTGCTTGTTAACAGCAGACAAACCCAATCTTTAAACACAAAAAGCAGTTCACCTAAAATGCAATAGAATGTTAGTGAACTATATTTATCCTTCACCTCTGGTTTGTCTAGTATATTTCAATGTCTACATCAATGACGTTGTCTTCAAATTACTACTGTAACCATGCTCTACTTGCAACACTTCTACATCATGAATATTATACATACTGTAATTTAGTTGGGGAATCTGTGTTAACTAATCCATTTGAAAAGGGGTCCTTAAACCAAGAAAAAAGGTTTTGTCAATCACTGGTCTAGACATTGTACACACAGTGAAACTGTTCCTATTGGTGGAATGGTATATCAGCAAAGGGGACAGATTGGTTCTTTTGCTAACCACTTTCAAAAACATGGGCAAAAATATTGTTTCTTGCAGCAAGATCTTTTGGGCTGTGCATTCAGGATGCTGGAGACAGTTTCAATCATGGCTTTCAAGGGCAATCAGGTAAGCATTTGAAGAGAAAAGATTTGCAAGAAAATGGTGCTAATGGTGTTAGGGTGGGGCAGAAGAACAGCAAGCCTAGTTGGGGTGCCTTGCAGAGAGCACAACTGGATTCAATAGACCAAATGGCCACCTCCCATTCTAAGATCTTGAGGCCATTAAACACTCAGAGTAAATATAGCACAGGTTAGATTTGGGTAAAGCTCCATCCATGCTGACATTTTATGCTGTAATCATTCAACTGGACCATTTTATCTGTGGAGGCAACTCCGGTTAGTCCCACTCTCCCACATATTCCCCAAGGGGCTGTAAATTTCTCTTCAGATAATTATCCAACATCACTTTGAAATTCATGATTGAATGTGCCTCCACCATCAGGTAATGCATTCCAGATCCCAAGTGCTCATTGGGTAAAAAGGTTTTTCCTCATGTCATCAATAATCCTTAACTTTCCAGTAGCAGCCAATTGTCATTTGCAGAAGAATTTCAAACTTTCACATTGGAGGCGTTTCTAAAGTTCTGGAAAGCCTTGCTGTAAAGCCCAGCTCTAACTTTTAGCTGATGTCCCCAAGAATGAGATTCCCCAACCAGCAGAAGCAAATTTTGCTATCTACTCGATTTGTTCCCTGTAATATACTAAACAGTGATCAAACTACCCTTTAACCGTATCAACTCCAGTTTGTCTCATCTCTCCTTGAAATGTAACCTTGGATTTCAATACATCATGCCAGTAAACCTACACTGCAATCCCTCCAAAACCAAAATTCCCTCTTAAGGTATGGTGCTCACAGAACTCCAGGGTTTTTTTTTAATTGCTGAAATGTACTTCTAGTCCCTTGTATCCAGTCATCTGCTGCTTCTAACTTTTCAGCTTGTGTAATATACACTGTTTTATTCTTTACAGGCTTAAAAGTGGATATCACACTTGCCTTCAATAAAATCAATTTCCCAGTTTTACCCTTTTGCTTAATCTATTGATACCTCTAATTTTGCGCCTCAATCTAAATTTATTAAAATGGGCAGCTTCAACAGGATAAGAAGGGTAACCCAGTCTGTCCTGATGTTGATTGTTCAGTATCCACTAATAAATGCTGTAGCAATTACTCCAGTTACCTGCTTACGATTACACTGAATGAGTACAGCGTATATTTGATGTCTTCGTTGATAGCTTGTTTTTCTCCATGAACAGTAGACCCTTACCTGCTGGTACATGCTGCCGGAAAACTGCCTTCACCTCCATTTTCATCTCTCGCTTGGTACGGCCTGGTTTACAATGAGGCAGTGCTTCGATGCTCAGGGCAGTGTGTGTCGGTAAGGAGTACAGGCAATATGCAGGCTGGCCCTGTCCAATTGTAAATCCTAACACTTGGACACTCCCATACAGACAAGTCATGCGACATCTTCCTTGAAATGTCAACTTCTGCAAAAAGAAAAAGGAGCAATTGGGAACACTGAAAACCATGACAAAAGAATGCCTTCAATTCTGAATAAGGAATCCAAAGCTGGATCATCTTCCAAATGTCAACACATGAGCCTGTGCATGAAATTGCTGAAGAAAGGCAACAAAGGGGCACTGTACCCCAGTAAGTGTAAGCACATCCAGGAAAACGAGAGGCCTGAAGCCCAGTGAATTCAGCAGTTTCACTGAAGAGAGACTACAGTGAAAATAAAAATAATTCCTCCTACCTGTGATGGGGACATGAGGACAACAGTCTGCTCATTCCCAATGTTCACTGCAGTGAGTGACAGTCTTGTACTAGCTTCAAGGGAAGCAGCATCATCAATGAAATCTTGAGATGATTCACTGTTGTGAATCCCATTAAGGGCAAATGAATCTGTATACAATTGCTGATATTCTCCTTCTCCATTGGCCTCCATGGCTTGGCAAGCATGTTTTGGCTGAGTCCTGCTTTCTGTAAGTGAACCATTAACCTTACCATCTGTGTTATAAGGAGGGGATTCAGTATTATTTTCTTCTTCCTCATTTTGCTCTTCATCTTGTTCTATGACATTTGATCTTTCAGTCTCATCAGCGTCACACACTTCTTCTGTACTTTCCCAAACTGCAGCATTCTTTGTACTCCGTTTGTGGTGGGGTCTTTTCACTCCTCGGCGACAGGGTGCAAGCAGACAACAGCTGCGTGACAACACACTCAGTTGCTTGGGTCCTGACACATCAGTCAACACCAACATGGCCTTGCGTTTCCACCTACGGCGTCGAGCTGCTGTGTTAACAGCCTGCTTCAAACACACTGCCCCTGGGTTACTGATCCTCATCTTGTGTTATTGCTCATACAATCCAGCTGTTTATAGGAGAAATGAGATTAAAAATCAGTCAATTCTATAACTCAGTTTGAAACACTCTGTAATCAATGAATTTTTTATGGAAACTTACTGAACATTAATCTCCAGACCTGATGGCAGCTCAAAGTACCAATAAGACCCAATTACACCCTGAAGCATCAAAATCTTCTGAAATACCCCAAGATTTCCAGGAACTCTAAGCAAACCTGATTATTCTTGAATAAATTCATCTCAACACCTCAAAATATCCTAATTACAACCAGATATTTTTTCCCCATTTCACCATCACCCCACAATCCTTCTATCTCAGACATAATACCCTCATCACACTATACCCCACATTGTTGTTGTTCCTACAACTCCCCAGGCTGATTAGCTCCCATAGCCCCACTTCAAGGAATCTCCCCACGCCAATCCCACCACACTACCTCATTTTAGTCTTAGACATGTTAGTCCCTTCTAGCACATCAATGCATCTATGCCCACTGTACATAATCACTTTCTTAACCACACGTGTTAGTCATCCATGTATGTATGTGCTCTGTACCATCCAGCCACACTTAACTTGCACTCTTGGTCACCATGCATCTATCCCATCCATCCGTCCTCCCTAATTCCCACCCTCCTCTCCTCTTCCAGTTCCCCATCGACACTCCACCTCATCCCTTTATCACCACTTTTCATGACTGGGTAATTGTATTTCTATAGTTATGGTCAAGTGTATCTCTCTCTCTCTGCACATTTACTACAGTCCTATTGAGTTGGTACATTATTTATCTCCGCAGATTTATTCTAATCTGGGTACAGGTAAACATACGTATATCTGCAAGTTTATTCCGCCCACCCCTGTTTAGGTATCTCTACAGGCATTCCTGCTGCTGCCAGTGTAATTACACATTTCTGGAGTAAGTGGGTCTTGAACCCGGATCTCTTGGTTCAAGAGTAGGGAATACTACCGATGCACCACAACAGGACCACTTCCACCAATGACTGTCTGCTAAAACAGGAATCATCTACCTGGGTGAAGTTTATCATTTGTGAATTGCTGGTTCATTGGTCCTCCCACTCACCACTTTTTGCTCCCACGCTCACCACCCACCAGCCTACTCTTGCCCCTTGCCCATCTCCCATTCCCTTCCTCTCTCCCAACTCCACCTCGTCATCCTTCCCCTCACCACTTACCACCTTGTCCCACTCCGCTCCATTCCCCCTTCATCCCACCTTTCCACTTGCCCCTAACACCCTCCTCTCCCCTTCCTCTGGACCCGCTTCTCCACGCCCCTAACATCTTCTTCATCACCTCGTCCCTTTCACCCCGCACACTTCCCGCGTACTCACTCAATCTCCTCACCTCCCCCTTCACCAACTCATTTACTCGAGTATCTCCCGTCCCCTTTCACTTTCTACTGCCCACCAACCAAAAGCCCACCCTCTTCCGCCTCCTATACGCCCCATCTCTCCTGTCCTCCACCCCTACCCCGCTTGGGCACACACGTTACCACCTTTTTCTTCCTCCCTCCACAGAACCGCCGGTCACTCCTTCTTCTCTTCTAGCCCCTGCATGTGAAACGCCCTCCTCTTCGACCACGCACGGAGCGATATTGATTCACTGCCCGTTACCTTGCTCTTTTTCTTCTCCGTACCCCAAACTATCCCTCTCTCTGTATCGGTACGTTGTTCATAAGCAATACGCCCCGTTCACATTACCACCCCCTACCCAATCCCCAATCATTCCTTTTGACCGGCCCTATTCGCCTTCGCTCTTGCTGCGAACAAAAATAGAAAGAAGCGCTACAAAACCAGCCTCCACCTCCTGGCCTGATCGCACTGGCTCCAGCCCCAGCGGTTTCCGAAAGGATGCGGCGCTCACTGGCCTCCGATTACTCCGAGTTAGTTTTTACATTACGACCCCTGGTGGTGGGAGGACCGAGTGAACCAGCAATTCACTCATGATAAACTTCACCCAGGATAGATGATTCCTGTTTCAGCAGACCATCGTTGGTGGAAGCGGTACCCTTGTGGTGTATTGGTAGTATTTCCCCACTCCTGAACCAAGAGACCCGGGTTCAAGACCCACCTACTCCAGAGATGTGTAATAACACTGCCAGCAGCAGGAATACGCCTGTAGAGATCCCTAAACAGCGGCGGGAGTAATAAACCTACAGGTATATATCATATGTTTACATGTGATGAGATAGTAAGAACTGTAGATGCTGGAGTCAGAGGTAACACCATGTGGAGCTGGAGGGACGCAGCATCAGAGGAGCAGGAAAATTGATGTTTCAGGTCAAGACCCTGCCCCAGAAATGGGGAGGGAGAAAGGAGCTGGGAAATAAATAGAGGAGGAGTGGGGCTGCCCCTCCTACCTCACTAACCACTCACCTATTACCTTCACCGGCCCCAACCTTCCTCTCTATTTCCCAGCTGCCTTCCACCTTTCCCCATTTCTAAAGAAGAGTCCTGACCTGAAACGTCAACTTTCCTGCTCCTCTGATGCTGCCTGGCCTACTGTGTTCCTCCAGCTCCACACTGTTATCTCTATATGTTTACCTGTCCTCAGTTTAGAATTAATCTGCGGTGATATATAATGTGCCAACTCAATTGGACTATAGTAAACGTGCAGAGAGAGATACACTTGATCATAACTATAGAAATACAATTAGCCGGTCATGAAAAGTAAACCTGCAGGGACAGACTTTAGTAACAGAAATGCTACATAAAGTCTTAACATAAGATTTAAAATTTCCAGCATCACTGTGCATAGCATTAAAGCTACTACGTGGTGTGATTCTACGTTGGCTTACTGGGCCAACATCAAAGTGGATCTCGTGTCCCTGCAGAAATGTACCTCAGTAGGTGCAGGAAATGATTGAGCTGGTGGGCCCATGGGCCATCCACACAGTCAGTAGGTAATGATTGCTTTTCGTCCACCTTGGGTATTCTGTTGTGAGAGGCAACTTCATCTCCAAGGTTAAGACATGGTGGTTGGGAACCTCCTTGTATCAGATAACTCTCCCAAGACTAATTCACGTGTATGTCCCAGTGGTAAAGAGTGAGCGTACAGCCGTCCTTCAGCAGCTGCCACTGCTGCGGGCAATGTCCAAGCAGGTCATTCAGCCAGTGATTTCAGTTGAATCATCGAAGCAGCTGGATGATCTGGAGAGGCTGGCAGCAAACCAGATGCCACGTCTAGACTCACCTGGTCACAGCCAGATGGATCTGTCTGCTCCAGAATAGAGTTCCTGTTTGTGTCTCAGTCACATCCACCAACATAAAACTTGTGTTCTACTCTGACCACTACCTTCTATTGCCCAACTGTCATCTACAGGAGGGCCAGAGGGGTGTCAAGGGAACATGGAAGCTGAACACAAAACTGTTGACCCCTGAACACATTAACAAACCATGAAACTCCACTTTTAGCCTTCAGCACACTGGTGGGAAGCAATCAAAATGAACATCAAGAGGTTCTTTATTCTCAAAGGTGTTCAGAAGGCAAGGGAGAGAGGCAGATGAAATTGTCCCAAATCCACAAAAACGTACAGAACCTACTCCTTATGCAGATGAGTAGTGTTGATGTCAAGGATCTCCATGAGGTGAGGAGCCAGCAAACCTCACTCTTTGATCTGTCAAGATGATGTAGACAATGATGATGTCCCCAACATCTCCAGGTTAAATAAAATCATTTGCAGGCTTCTAGAATCATAGAATCCCTACAGTGCGGACAGAGACCCATTCAGTCCATTAAGTCTGCATTGACCCTCCGAAGAGCATCCCATCCATGCCTAGCCCCCTACCCTATCTCTGTAATCTTGCATTTACCATGACTAATCCACCTAGCCTACACATTCCTAGACACTATGGACAATTTAGCATGGCCAAACCATGCACATGGCCTAACCTGCACATCTTTGGACTTTGGGAGGAAACTGAAGCACTCTGCGGAAACCTACACAAATACTGGGAGAACATACAAACTCCACATGACAGTCATCCAAGGGTGGAATCAAACCCAGGTTTCTGGTGCTGTGAGGCAGCAGTGCTAATCACTGAGCAACTGTGCTGCCCCATCAGGATCTTTATGCCATGGATCTTTCTACCAGGATCTTTATGGCAAGCCCAGTGGCAATAGGCAATTATCAACATGAATAGGGCCGTGAACCTGAGAGTCCCTCATCAAGAATCTGCACACAGACAACAAAGGCAAGAAGGTCATTAGACATCTGCTTTCAGACAGAGATATGTCTTTGCGAAGTAGCATCTGTTACTGAGAAGTTTCCAGTAGTCAGCTGTCACATGTGCCACCCTATCTAAGAATTTTTGAAGTGGTGTTAGAGGGAGCTCCCTTTCTGGGAAGGCTGTGGTAATGGCATTAAAAAAAACACTGATTTTCCCCACTGAAGGAAGTCAGTGAAATACAGGAGGGAGCAGATTGAAGTTTATATTGAACTATGAAATGCAAATAAAGAGTGGTAGAGGACAGACACATGCCTACTTTGGAAAATAGATGACTGGTAATGTCAGAACTCAGACATCACCTGATGAAGGAACAGCACTCTGAAAGCTTGTGATTTCAAGCAACCTGTTGGACTATAACCTGGTTTCGTGTGACTTCTGACATTATCTACCCCAGTCCAACACCAATACCTCCACATCATGACTACCAATGTGATATGGACCAGTAACTTCTCTTTCAACTTGGCACTCCGCAGCCTACTGGACTCAATACAGAGTTCAACGTTTTAGATCATAACCTGGGCCTCGTGTTTCTTTCTGCTTGTCCTTTTTTTTTCTCATTTCTTTCTTTATTTCCTCATTTTGCATTTGAACATTGTTTTGTAGTATGCTCCCCAGCTCTGGACATATCTTTTGTTCCTTTATTATACCCTTTGCCATTCCTTTTGGCTTTTGTATTGTGAAATCTTTTATCATTTAATCTTCCTTGCCCCTTACGCTTTCTTCACCTTCCCTTTGTTCTTCTTCCTATTCCCCAATTTCACTTGCTGAAAACCTGTTACACATTTCTATCTTCCTCAATTCTGAAGAGCTATACACCCGAAACGTGAACTTTTTCTCCCCAGCAGATGCTGGCTGATCTACTGAGTATTTCTAGTACTTGTATTTTCTGTTTCATTTCAGATTTCCAGCATCTGCAGGATTTTGCTTTTGAATTGTCATTACTCACACTGGCTTTTTATTTCAGATCTAGTTAACTGAATTTTTTAGCTGCCACGGTAGAATTTCAAGTCGATGCCTGCTAGATTATAGTCCAGGCCTCTAAATCGGTAGCCACTATGTTACCATACTAGATAAATATATAAGATTTAAGAAGTAAGAATATAATCGCCTATAAACAATAACAGTAAAAATTACTAATTTCAAATAACTATATAAGTTCAAAAACGCATTGATTCATAATTAAACAAATATATTCATAAAATGAATTCATCTATGTTAACAATGCCAAAGTTGACTGTTTATAACCGCAACCGTACACCAATACCAAGTCTCACATTTGATCCTATTTACGTAAAAACGTTTACGAATATATATGAATGTTTACAGGAAAATCTTATGAATTCTATTTCTTCAATACGTTTTTTTTTACCTCTGTCCAATTCCAGGAGTTTGATCTTTATTTTTCTTCAATACGTTTTTGTTTTACCTCTGACCAACTCTAGGAGTTTGATCTTTATTGATCTTTATCTATTAGCCGACTTTTATTTTCAGTAATGAGCGCTTTACAAGCGAGCAGAATCCTAAAACTGTAACAAAAAATATCTTTGTGACCTTTGCCAACCCAACAATGGAATTGGTGACCCCGAGTCGGAAATTCTTTCTGCCGACGTAGTTCGCTCAATTCAAATCGTATATTAATCCCGGGGGAATTCTGCTAAATTATAGTCCAGGCCTCTAAATCGGTAACCACTATGTTACCGTACTGGATAAATATATAAGACTTATATATGACTTATACCGACCCTCCGCTGTCACTGAGAGAACTCGGAGATGCGAGCCTTTTTCATGATTATTATCGTGTGTCTTTTGCTTTCTCAAAGAAAGGCAAAAGGTTAGT